GTTAGTGCATTGCCTTGGCTAAGAGCTAGGCCATTTTGTAAAAATGAGACCACAGGTTTGCAGAGAGATTTAAATACCGAACATTCTACTTTCTCAAATTCCTCTCTGAATCAGTTGGCTCATAAAAATGATACTGGAAAGGGTCTGAATCATATATCTTCTCAGAATGTGAAGTCAGTTTCATGTTCCAGTAATGTTGGGCCTAGCAGAATTGAAATAAGTGACTGCCTGACTGATAGAAAAATTCTTGGGTTCCCCATTTTCGAAAAGCCTAACATGTCTAAGAATGAACCTTCTTCTGTTACCTCCCTGGCTGCCTCCCAGACTGGGTCAATTCCTAATCCATTCGAAGGAAAAGAAAACAAGGGGAAAATTAGAGTACTTGATATTAACCTGCCTTGTGATCCTGCAGTTCCTGACATAGGCCAAGATAGAGCGGAAGAAGTTCTGATAATAGAGAAGGGAACAGATAAAAAAATTACTAGTTCCAGACATGATATTGATTTGAATTTGTGTGTGAATGAGGATGGAGCTTCTTCTTTCATGTCCCCCAGTCCAAGGACCACTGGGAAGATAGTTTCTGGGTTTGATTTGGAAGCACCTGCAGTTCCTGATACTCTGGAAGATATTTGTGGAAACAAACAGCCAGATGCAACGTGTGAAGAACCCCTTAAATCACTACAGCATGATGATAGGAACTTACTGAATGAACTTATGAGGATAGCAGGAGAGGCAATAGTTGCTATCTCGTCTGGTCACAATGGTGATGATGTTGCTTGTGTTCCATCTGAAGCATGTGCGGTAGACCCACTTAGCTGGTTTGCAGAAATAATTGACTCATGTGGGGATGGTATTGAGAGAAAACTTTTGCAAAGTAAAGATAGTGGGGATAACGAGGGATCTTCCTCGGAGGAGATTGATTTCTTTGAGTCCATGACATTGACATTGCCAGAGATGAAAGAAGAGGACTACATGCCCAAGCCTTTGGTTCCTGAGAATTTGAAATTGGAAGAAACAGCAGCAACATTGGTGACAAATCGTCCTCGGAAGGGCCATGCAAGGAGGGGGAGGCAGCGGAGGGACTTTCAGAGGGACATCCTTCCAGGGCTTGCTTCTCTATCGAGGCATGAGGTAACTGAAGATCTTCAGACATTTGGAGGACTTATGAGAGCAACAGGTCATTCATGGAATGGAGGGTTGACAAGAAGGAATACGAGGAATGGATGTACGAGGGGCAGACGGAGATCAGTAAATATTGCATCTCATCCGGTGGCAGGCAACAGTGGTTGCACTCCATTGGTGCAGCAGCTTAATAATATTGAAGTGGGGTTGGAGGATCGGAGCCTTACAGGGTGGGGGAAAACAACAAGGCGACCACGCCGGCAAAGATGTCCAGCAGGTAATCCTCCATCAGTAGCTTTAACCTAATGATGGGAAGAGAGAATTAAAATATTAATTTAGAAATTTATAGAGGGGAAGAATGGAGTTGTTTGGGAATGTTGGGGAACCGTGGGGATTGTGTGTACATTTGATGAACCCAGCCCCCTCCCCCCATGTTTGTCAGAACTTGGTATTATTCATATAAATAATGTTGCATGATTTGTTCTGGGAATGGATCAGAGGGTGCATATTCCTGGGATTGAACTAACTTGTTATGGAGGCAAGAGATGAGATGAGATGAGATGAGATGAGATTTCTCCATACAATGAAATGGAATGGAAGTTAATTTTATTGACTGGCTTGTCTTAATTCTTGTATATTTGTGTTTTTTTTTTTTTTTCCTGCACAACCTCCTGTAGAATCATTCTCTTGTAAAAGGGAGATGAGAAACAAAAACCACAAAGAAGAAGAAAAAAAAAAGAAAAAGAAAAAAAAGAAAAAGGAGAACTGAATTTGGGTGACAGACAGGAAATCTCAGAGGAGGTAATTTAGTTATTGTTATTTTTAATTGGGTAAATTTTTTATTAACAATCCTTAATAACATTATATTATATTATTAGGAAATAAAATGATTTTCTATTATCGTGCTTTGTACATATTCACCTGGTGGGATTAATCGGCTTTTGTGATGATTTTATGAAATTTATTTAAAATATATAATTTTTTGATTTTATTTATTATTACTTCTCTGAAATAAAATATTTTAAAATAAAACACGAGCCTTAAAACAAATATATATATATATATGTATATGTATATGTATATGTACATGTATATATGGTGTGAGGTAATTTTACCAAATCTACAGTTCAAAACTAAATGGCAAAAATCTTATCGTTCGTTTATCCCAAATACAAGTGGGGGGAGAAATTACAGGTCATGAATTAATTCTAAAAATCATTCTAATTTTTGACTTTTATTTTCTCAAAATAATAATTACATCATCTTGTTTTTGGAGTTCAATGCAAATAACTTCTTATAATAGCGCGTGGGTAGACGCGAAGGGAAGGAGCGTGGTGGTGGGGTATGGGAAGTCCTAATATGCAAACGTTTTGTGTCGGCGTCTGAGATGATTCGCTGTACAAATCTGGTGCGGTCTTCGTCAACGACATGCTTTCCCAGCCAATCAAAAAAAAAAAAAAAAAAGAAAATAGAAAATCAGGTGTCATGGAAAAAGCAGACCAGACCCACCTTTCTACTTTTCCAAAACATTCATTTTGGCCCCCCGTAACATTTTTCTTTTTTCGAATAAAACCCACCTTCTATCTTTTTTTTTAACGGGTGGATATTCGGTATTGAAAGATAAAATATTGTAAGGGTCAATATTAATTTTTTCAAAAAGTACAGGGGCTATTTTATAAATTTCTCTTTTTCTTCTTCCCTTTCTGAAGCACTACTTTATTCCCGTATTCATTATTGTACCAGGTACCCCATACTTTTTAAAGATATTAACATCTTTGTACGGTCTTCCTGGTTTGCTTTTTATAATTCCATTAGTCTTTTCAAACTGCTGCCTACAAAAATAGTTACAGTAAGTTCAATTTTTTATATTTTTGAAAAAAAAAAATATTTGATTCGAGACAATATTGATGAAAATTCTTTAAATATTGACATGAAATATTCAACACTAATATTAATATTGTGATTTTTATCCTTGCAAATATTTAATTCAGACTGTAAAATAATTTTTAATAGATCAAGTTCAATCCTTCTCTGAATTTATCCGAAAGATCAAACCTTCGATACTTCCATTGATAATTAGATAAAATTTGAAGGAAGGATTCCGATTGATTTATTATTTCCTGCTAAATCTCTACTCTGGAGGATGAATGATTTCATCAGTATCCTCATAAAATCTTGATTTAAGGATTTCATGTTAACCAACCAAACCACGCTTTCAAATTTTGGCGGCAGTAACGTCGTCTTCATTTCATCATCAGCTGCAGAGTGATTAACATAAAACAATGGTGAAACTCATTTCTCTTTTTCACAGACACTCTTTTCTTATTAAAATACCCTACCTTCAATCTACATCTCTCGCATTTACAACCTATCAACAACTACTACCCGAGCTTGATCCAACCATGTCTTCCATCCACTCCGTCTCTTCCAACCCCTGCTTCTCTCTTCTTGGTCTTTGCAGAAACATCTCTTCTCTCAGGAAAATCCATGCTTTGCTCCTTGTACACGGACTAACCGGTGATATTTTGTGCGACACCAAGTTGGCTAGTTTATACGGCTCATTTGGCCACGTGCAATGTGCACGCCTGGTGTTTGATCAAATTCGCCGCCCAGATTTTTATTCCTGGAAGGTCATGATCAGGTGGTATTTTCTGAATGATGAGTGTGCAGAGATTATGCCATTTTATAATCGTATGAGAACGAGTGTAAGAGAAACTGACGATGTTGTTTTCTCGATTGCGCTGAAGGCGTGTTGTGAATTGCGGGCTCTGAATGAAGGGATGAAAATACACTGTCAGATTGTTAAGAGTAGGAGTCAGGATAGTTTTGTCTTGACGGGTCTTGTTGATATGTATGCCAAGTGTGGGGAAATCCACTACTCTAGCCAGGTGTTTGATGAAATCTATGATAGGAATGTGGTTTCCTGGACTTCAATGATTGTGGGGTATGTACAGAATGATTGTGCTCGAGAAGGGTTAATCTTGTTTAACCGGATGAGAGAAGCTCTGGTTGATGGTAACCAGTTTACATTTGGGAGCTTAGTAACAGCCTGCACCAAACTAGGGTCTTTACATCAAGGGAAGTGGCTTCATGGATATGTGATTAAGAATGGCCTGGAACTTAATTCATATTTGTCAACAGCTTTTCTAAATATGTATGTAAAATGTGGGAAGATTGAAGATGCTTGTTTAATATTTGATGAGCTCTCTTCGGTTGATCTTGTCTCCTGGACAGCTATGATCGTTGGATACACTCAGAGTGGTTGTCCTACTGAGGCTTTGAGTTTATTCATAGATAAGAAATGGGTTGACATCTTCCCCAACAATGTTACTATTTCTAGTGTGCTTTCAGCATGTGGCCAGATGGGCTTTTGAATTTTGGAAGGTCAATTCATGCGCTGGGGATTAAGCTTGGACTTCAGGATTCAGCAGTAATAAATTCTCTGGTGGACATGTATGCCAAGTGCCAGCAGAATGGTCATGCTCGATATTTATTTGAGATGGTTTCAGAAAAAGATGTAATTGCATGGAATTCTATTATTTCTGGTTATTCCCAGAATGGATTTTCACGTGAAGCCGTCAATCTTTTTAATCGGATGAGATCAGAGTCTGTTATGCCCGATGCAGTAACACTGGTGAGTGTCATATCAGCATGTTCTTCGGTTGGTGCTCTCCGAGTTGGTTGTTCTCTTCATGCTTACTCTATAAAGGATGGTTTAATAGCACCTAATGTTTATGTTGGCACTGCACTTCTGAATTTTTATGCCAAATGTGGGGATGCTATATCCGCACGTACAATTTTTGATGGTATGGGAGAGAAAAACACAGTCACATGGAGCGCAATGATTGGTGGTCATGGAATGCAAGGGGACAGTAGGGTGTCCCTTTCACTTTTTGATGACATGCTGAAAGAAGCATTGAAGCCTAATGAAGTCATCTTCACAACCATTTTATCTGCCTGCAGCCACACAGGAAAGGTTGTGGAAGGATGGAGGTATTTCAACTCAATGTGCGAGGATTACAACTTTGTGCCGTCCATGAAGCACTATGCATGTATGGTTGACCTATTGGCACGTTCTGGAAGACTTGAAGAAGCGTTGGAGTTAATTAAAAACATGCCTATTCAACCAGATGTTTCTTGTTTTGGAGCTTTTCTACATGGATGTGGGCTGCACTCAAGGTTTGATCTTGGACAGGTAGCAGTTACGAAAATGCTAGAGTTGCATCTTGATGAAGCTTGTTACTACATTCTTATGGCTAACTTATATGCTTCTGATGGAAGATGGAGTCAAGTTGATCAGGTGAGAGAGTTGATGAAACAGAGAGGACTGAGCAAGTATCCTGGCTGTAGCTTAGTGGAGACTGAGATGAATGGTGATCTCTTGTGCCCAAGCATAGCAAGTTTTGCTTAGGATACAGGTGGGATAAAATTTAGAGCTATGAAGCCTGTTGCCATTGCTGCAACAAAATGGAATCTTTTTAAAAGAGAACCAAGAGCAAGGTTGGCTTCTCTCATATGCAAGTTGAAACTTTTGGCAAACTAGTTCTGGAGTATTTCCTTGCTGAAAGTGTAACGTGAACCGTATAACCCATGCTAGAAATTTTACAGTTGTAGGACACTGCGAAACTAAGGATTCCTGTTTGTCTGAATGCATGAGTTCCCTCGAAACTTCTTGAAATTCTTTAGACACAGTCGTAGAGAAGTTTTCTAATGCTCCCGAACATCAGTACTGCTGAAAAATGCTTGCATATTGAAGTGAGAGGGAGTACCTTTGATATGGGAATCCAAAATGATTTTGCCTGGACAACCTCCTGCATTGTCCCATAAGATTGATGCCTTTCGCGAAATGACTATGCTTATAAAATTATATGGTTGAGGGTGCATTATATATGGATCTGGTTTTAAGGGTAGAACTGGAGATTTCACTTTCTCCGTTCTTTTCTTTCAAGGGTTGTATATAGATGTGAATGATTTATGGTTGTATTCACAGGAATATGATGTTTTTTAGATGTAAATGATGTTGTACTACATGTATATGTATAGAGACACAGTAATTCGTTGATTACAAGTGTTCAACGGAAATAGAATAATACACGGTAAGGTTTATCAAAATTTTGAATGGAACTTTTATTATTTGTAGTTAAATTAAAATTTGATTTTTAAATAAATTCCACTAATATTCTTAATTCTTTCCTAATATAGTCAAAACCAACAATCTTTATGATAAAAGAACAGCATTCATTCTATTGAAACCATCAGATCCTTGTTGGACTCAACATTAATTTCTTTAGAAAATAATAACATATCAGTCAAGTAATTATCAGACTCCAAAAATTCAAAACCCTGTTCCCAAGCCAAATTCTGGAAATTTTCCACTAAGCTGATAGTTCCTTTTGTTTGTAAATTTGATGTATCCCCAGCTCGAAATGTATAGAATTTCTTATCAAGCTCAATTGTACTATATCCTACGACCTTCTTCAAACCTGTCCTTTCCATTGTTGATCTCACATTCCCAGATTCATACCACTTTCCTTCTTCAGCATATAGATTAGACAACAAAACATAGAATCCAGTATCATCTGTAATGATGTCCAAAAGGTCTTTTTCAATGACTTTGATCATGTCCATCCTCCCATGGATTCGACACCCGTTAACCAAAGCCCCCCAGATACTAGCATGAGCTTGGAATGGCATTGACTTGATGGTTCTATATGCTTCATTTAGATTACCAGCACGACTCAGAAGATCAACCATACAAGCATAGTGTTCTGAATTTGGTTCAATGCCAAAATCCTTCATTGAGTTAAAATAAAGCTTCCCTTCTTCCACGGAGCCTGAATGGGTGCAAGCTGATAGGATGTTCATGAAAGTAACTTCATTAGGTCTCATTCCTGATTGTACCATTTGTGTGAATAGTGAGACAGCAGCTTCAATCTGACCATGAACTCCATAACCGGCAATCATCGTACTCCATGACACCACACTTCTCTCCGACATGCTATAGAAAACTCGTTTTGCTGTTTGAAGGTCTCCACACTTAGCATACATATCAATAAGAGCTGTATTGGTATAGAGATCCTGCCTTACACCGTAGGTGATAAGCTTGTGGTGAAGCCACTTTCCCCTTTCAAGATAACCTAGATTAGAACAAGCCTGAATTACACACAAGAAAGTTACTTCATTCATGTCAAGACAATTGAAGTACATCTGTTCAAAAAGTTTAATTGCCTCCACTGAATTACCATTCTGAGAAAATCCACAAATTATGGAGTTCCAGGCCACAACTTTTTTATTTTGGATGTTATTAAATATCATGTAAGCCGAATCTACAAACCCACATTTACAGTACATATCCACCAAGGAATTTTGGACAAACTCATCCACAATACCTCTCTTAATAATATGACCCTGTATCTGATGTCCAAGGTTTAATAAAACAGCTTTTGCACAAGCTGAAAGAGAACTTGCTAGGCTAAATGAATCTGGAATTAGACCTTGTTTCTGCATCTGCACAAAGACAATCAATGCCTCTTTCAGCAACCCTTTTTGAGCATAAATTGATATGAGAGAATTCCATGACACAATATTTCTCACTCCAATTGTACACAGAACCTTCTCACAATTATCTAGTCTCCCACATTGGGAGTATAATTGTATTAAGGCAGGTCCCAAATACTCATACTCAGGGTCCATATTTCTTCTAATTGCATAACAATGAAGTAACTTTCCATCTCTGATTCGGCTTAACATGGCGCAGGAACTTAGAACACTTGTCAAGGTTACTGAATTAAGTTCAAATTTAGAGTTTAACATTTGAAAAAAAGCGTCAAGTGCTTTTTCGAAGCAACCACCTCTGTTGTAGCAAGAAATCATCCCTGTCCAACAAGTGTTACTCCTGCAGGCGATGTCAATAAAGATCCTCTCTGCGCTAAACAAGTCACCGCATTTACTGTACATTACAGCAAGAGAATTAGCCAATGACTCATCATTTTCAATCCTCCTTGTCATTATCTGACCATGTACAGACCTTCCTAACTTCAAGCAACCCAATTCACCACAAGCCTCCCCTACACTCAACATTGACACTGAATCAGGTTCGACACCCTCACGGAGCATCAAACGGAACGTCTCCAATGCTTCAGTTGTCTCTCCCTTGTCAACATAACAGGAAATTATTGTACTCCATGAAACCACGTCTCTAATTGTCATTTCATCGAACACTTTGTTTGCATCAACTAAGCATCCAATTTCTCCATACATGCAGAGCAGCGAGGCCTGAGTAACAGGATCATTGTAAAAACCAGACTTGATTATCCTCGAATGAACCTCCCAACCAATACCCGGATCACCAAAACCTGCACAAGCTCTCAAAACAGAAGGAAATACAAATTCACACATAAGGGCTTGTTGCAATATCATTCTATGGTAGATTGAAATGGCTTCTTGAAACAAGTAGTTCCAGACGTGGCACTTGATGAGCACGCCCCACATGAAGGAATCTGGTTTGTGGAAGGAATTAAAAACAAGCCTGGAGGATTGAAGGTTGCCCATTTGGGCGTAGCATTCAATGAGTTTGGTGGAAGGAAGTGGATCAGCATGAAGGAGGCCAGTTAGCAAGAGGTGGGCATGGAGTTGGGCTAGTGACCTTAAGGTTGTAGATGATCTGAACAAGGGCATGTACAAGAGGGTCATTGGGGGGAGCCACTATGTCATACCAGATTACTTACTACAAAAAACATATGGATGATTTTTACTTAAATCTATATACCCAAGTTTCTGAAATCTCATCAGAGTCGGCTTCTGCATTTGTGCAACATACAGTTTGAGAGATGATTCATACAAGAATGATATTTAATTTAAAACCAAAAATAAATCAAGATTTTCAGTTCTCATGCCACAGTATAAATTATTGTTTGATTCAATTTTAAACCAAGAATAAATCAGCCCATATGTAATTCAACATATACAACAAAGGCCCAGAATGAACAGCTTATACATGATTTAATATATATAAACCAACGCAATTGTTTTTGCAATGTATATAATACCAACCAGTGATACATTACCTTCTTGTATAATTTGATCATCTTATATAATCCGAATACAAAGTTACAACTTTGATAATTTAGAGTGTGATTTCAGAATTAAATAAAACAAAAAAAAACCTTCAATGCACTAAAGTCCTTTATAATAGAAATAGATGATTTCAAAATCTTTTGAGGTTGTTCCTTATATCAAATAATTTCAAATTCTATTAATATTGATAATATATATTATTAATATATAATTAATTCCATGTATATAAATAAAAGAGCCATCTAAAAGTCATATGGATGTATTATATTACATCTAAATGATTTATATTATGTACATGCCAGCGGAGTTTAGTTATCTAAAAGGAAAAACTGGACGAGGTTTTGAAGCCATAGATTATGTACAACATTCGAAACATGGGATGACATCTTCAGCAAATACTGGTAAAAAATATAAAGGAGTTTGACTTCTCTTCCCGTCTTAAAACTTCCAGCAAAGCAGAGAGGAGGAAGTATGGATTTCTGGTTTACTCATCACTCCCAGTTTCTTCATCTTGTGCATCAATGAGAACTTCATGCCGAGGTCGATTGAACTTGTCGCGCAGTTGCTTTACAGGGATGAAATCTCCGGCTGTGTCCATACCATAAAATAAGAAGGAAATATATGGATGATCAAACCTTTCCTGCATGGAAACAAAGATAGCACATTATAAATGAAATAGCCATAATCATCTTTCATGTTTTCCGGTCACAATTCGACACACCTTATCTGCTTCCTCACGAGCTAACAGATTGTCTTCGGGAACTGCAACAAACATAAGATATTGCTAATGGCTTAGAAAACTACTTTGAGGAGAAACAGAAAGTGATGGCACCAGAGTAGATACATATATGATCACACACAGCAGTGACTACTAGCATAGGGACTAGATTTTCTTTTCAAGGAGCAGCAATAACATACCATATGCCACTAGTAAATTGGGGTCAGCATGTACATCAACCAAAACCTTGAAAAGCAAGGAGAACTTAATCAGAGAATTATCTACAAGGATATTTACTTTATCAAAATGTACTTTAAAAATGTGCAAATAAGTTGAGAGAAGACAATTTTCAAAGTAGCTATGTAAATGGAGCAAAAGGATGGAACAGCTGCAAGTCCTGTGCAGTTTAGTATAGTAGTCATGTCCCAAAAATGTCAAACTGTTCTTATACCTTGGTGGTATTTTCATTTGTACGCAGAAAAAAATTGAATAATGCCCAAACTTCCAATGGACTCATGCTGGAAAAGACAGAACTAGCAATAAGGGAGTAAAACCTGATAAAATGGCTGATTGGAACCTCGAGCCAATTTCTCAACCTGTGCAATCTCCATCCATGAACTTGATTCATTGCACACTGGATCCATCCCACAAATGACAGCTCGATAGCCTAAAAGCATATAATCAAACTGTACTTTCATTAACTAAACAAGTCCTAACTTTGCTGCAAATTTTCGGAAAAGGAAAAGAAAATGAAGACTGTCTGGTATAGTCATATGCATTGAAGGTAACAAAATCAAACAAGATTCTGCATATCATAAATGTTATTTGTCTCACTCCTTTCCTTTGAGCTTGGAAGCACAAGGGGGCAGGGGAGAGAAGGAAGTCAACTCGCGGCTGCAGATAATAAGCAAACATATAAGACTTCTGGACATTCTAATTGTTTTTCATGCTATTTATTTTCTTTTAGCTAGGAAGGAGAAGGAGGTAGCGCTTAAAGGTCAATGTAGGGAACTTAATATATATGAACCCAGGTATTAGAAACCCTTTTGCAAACTTAGTAAATATACAAAAATCAAATTTCAAACACAAAATACAGGAGTAGTCATCTTCTTCCCATGTTACATAAAGAAGAAGAAGAATGGTTATAAATAAAAATAGTATTATATATCATAAAGGGTTAGAGAAGAAAAATACTAAATATTTCTTGTATTGTTATTGAAAGTAGGAATATATATACATGTATACGGATTCATTTATGGTAACTAACATAAATTACTTTAATTATTTTCTTTCTAATTTCGCTTACATATTTAAAAAGATAATTATATTATTATGTATAGAAAATATTTTATAATATTCTAACACTTCCCCCAACTTGGAGCATAAATATTAGTTATGCCCATATTGTTCCGAAGATATTCAATTCGTGTTCCATTAAGAAACTTTGTGAATATATCACCAAGTTGTTCTCATGTCTTCACATAACCAGTAAATATAAAGTTTTCTTGAATCTTCTCTCGAATGAAGTGGCAATCAACCTCAATATATTTGTTTCTCTCATGATACATATAATTTGAGGCAATATGAAGGACATATTGATTATCGCACCATAGTTTTGCAGGAAATGTGGGTTTCAAACCCGCTTCATCTAACAGATGATGTATTCATAAGTTTTCGCATATAGACTGGGCCACAACTCTATATTCGGACTCTGTACTTGTGCGGGATATAACTGTTTGCTTTTTACTTTTCCATGATACGAGATTTCCACCAATAAAAACACAATAGTCCGTAGTAGACCTCCTAATCTTAGATCCAACCCAATTAGTATCTGTAAAACATTTAATGTGAGTATGCTCATGATTTCTGAATACTATGCCGAGTCCCGGAACATCTTTTAAATAGCACAAAATCTATTCCAAAGTCTCCCAATGTTTGACTGTATCTGCCGACATAAACTGATTAACAACACTGACAGAATATGCAATATCTGTACGAGTCACAGTAATATAATTCAATTTCCCAACAAGTCACCTATATTTCACTGGTTCATCAAGGGAATCACCATCATCTTTTGTAAGATGTACATTTGTTATCATTGGTGTACTGCATGGCTTACCTCCCAGCTTTCCTATTTTTGCAAGTATATCAAGTATATACTTTTTCTGAGATAACAGAATCACTTCCTTACTTCTTGTTACTTCAACCCCCAAAAAGTATTTTAACTGTTTCAAGTTTTTGGTATTGAATTTTGTATGCAAGAATGATTTGACAAAGGATATTCCTGCATGGTCATCTCCTGTAACAACAATATCATTAACAGAAACAACAACAAGTACAATATCAGCTGTTGATTGTCTATATAAGATTGAATGATCATACTTTCTCCTCTTCAATCTGAACTCACATATTACATAATTAAACTTGCCAAACCATGCATGAGAACTCTGTTTCAGACCATACAAAGATTTTTTTAAATGACAGACTTTTCCGTACTCCCCATGAGCAATAAATCCAGGAGGTTGCTTCATATACACTTCTTTTAAGAGATCACCATGAAAAGATACATTTTTAATATCCCATTGGTGTACGACCAATCTCGGGAGGTTGCAATAGATATGAATAAACGAATAGAGATAAATTTAACAACTGGGAGAGAATG